AATAAGTGACTAAATAGTTGTACAAACAATTTTTTTTCATAACATTTGTTAAGTAAATATTATCTTGAAGTTAAATTGTATTTAATCAACCATTTGAATATCTTCTTGAATACGCCATAAGGTATTAAAATTAGTTTAGATAAAACTTTACTGTAATTTCTATAAACTAAAATTTTCCCGGGAATTTTTGTTGAATGTCATTCCTGTTGGAATATTATAAAAAAAAATATTGTATTTTAAAACTAATTCAGAAAAACTTAAAATTCAGTATTCATTATAAACATAATATAGAGTATCACATTCCTTAATAACACATATTGTTGAGAAAATAGAGAAATATTTTTAGTTATATTCGTATTAAAGAAAATCAAACGTGTCAGTTAAAATTGTACCATAAAATATCAATATTATTCTGAGTGGTTTTATTTATAATATGTAATTGACCAAAAAGTGAATTCAATTAAACCCGTGAAGCAAATGTCAAATTATAATTTAAATTCTTCAAGTTATCAATTTATTATAATATTATGAATTAAGTTATATATCAAAAACATATTTATTTTTCAATTTATTTTCATTATATTAATAACAATTAATAATGCATAACAAAAACAACTATAATATAATATAATTTCATGATACTTAAATGCTAATATTTAATTTTAGATTCTGAGTGGAAAGATGAATGTGATTTTACAATGATGTTGGTTTTTATTTTTATTATTTTTTTTTTTGTGCCTGTCATCACCTTTTAGGACAGTAAAAGTGCTTGGATTTTCTTCAACAGTATCTTTTCTGATAGGAAAGTGAATCTAGTTGGTAATTTGGGGGGGTCAAAAGTAAACATGTCAAAGTAGTTTTCAAAAGCAAAAACAAAAAAAAAATTAAGGAAAACGGGAATTTTTACGGTTTTCGAGAAAATCGATTTTGGTTTTTGGTGTAACTCTAAAACAAATTAATGTAGATACATAGAATTTTCACTGATTGTTTATATTTGAATTTTCTATACACGATAACATGTTCAAAATATTTTGATTTATTTTGAACTGTTTAAGAATATTTTCATTTTCCATTTTTTTTTAGTTTTTTTTCTAAAAATATCAATACAATTTTATTTGTTGGTCAAAAGAGCTTGAGAATTTAATAGAAGGATCCTAGTATATTGTTTCAAAGGCAGATAAAAAATAAGAAAAATCCTTAGTCACAGTTTTTATTTATAATCATTTAAAGTTCAAAAATTGACAAAATATGGAAAAATCATAACCACAGTTTATTTTTATAGTCATTTTAAGTTCAAATTTAGACGAAATTACATAAAAAAAAACCTAGAATAACTATTTTAGTTATTTTGTTGTGATTGTATGATATTATTCGTGGATACTTGAAACATCTAAAGTACACTTAATACAATTATATATTTTACATACTAGATATAAATTATATATACTTAACACGTTGATGAAGTCACTTCAAATGAAGGGGCTCTTGCCTTAACCTAAAATCATAAACTAAGACGTATGGTTTCAGACGCTTAAAACATCTGATGTCCTTAAAGTTATCTAATAATCGGATGGCCAATGGATTGACAAGGTGATCTAGACTCCTCTCGTGTTTTCGAGGAAACCTTTGGACTTCGTCTGCTATTGTATACAGAAATATCATATCACGGTGAAGTTCGAATAGATAGGCTGCAGTGATGATGATCCGAAGGGTTGTATTTCATCGATGTTAGACTTACTGGCACAACCCCACATTTGAATGCCGTGAATCCAGATAGATTTTATAATAGCTAGTAGCTACGTACAGTTAATAGATCGCCATTGATATTAATTTTCCAACGTCTCGTCCAAGCAAAGATATTGTCAATTGACTTCTGTAGATATGTTATCAGTTGCAGTGAGCTGACTATTATGTGTCAAAAAATTGCTATATTGTCAGATAGGTACTATTATATAATGATATTTAATAATATAAATATTACAAACTATACATATACTAAGTAACAATTTACTATAAATTTTTTTTTCTTATAATTGTCATATACATAATTAACGAATTCTGATAAATTCGTAGATACCTCCTATATAGTTGAATTCTATGAAAATGTTAAATTTTTAGTCAATTGCGGATCAGACAACTTATGATCATCCGGATTACCTACATCAAAATACAACAGTCTTGTCGATCTATATTCTATAAAATATGCTTACTAGCCTGTCATCTATGTAAGTATTTAAAAATAGGGTTCTGGCTTCATAAAAATAAAAATAAGTTTGTATATTTTTTTGGACGGGGATGTCCACAAAATTGTTTGTATCTAACAATTATTGACACCCTTCAATAGCCGACAGTTTTTAATTTCCTGTTTCAATATTTTAATAATCTTTGTATTTTAAATATTGAATTTCCATTTTTATGTTAGTAAAATAACGTTATACATAGTTACATAGATGTTATATAGTGTATTATGTATTATAATACATTTTACATGGCAATTGTTAAAATATAAATTTTAGATTATAACACAATGTATTAATGTAGTCTAATTAAAATATATGATTTATAAACAAAGGAGGCTATTTTTAATTTTAACAATAATATTTCGTTTAGATTTGTTTAAAGTTTAGTTTTTGTACAGCCGTTTAGTTAAAAACTGTTATGAATTAATAATAAAAAAAAATCATATAGAAATAATTGATAGTTCATATTTGCATGGTTGGTAATTACTCGTACATAATGTTTATAGTACATTTAATATAAATAAATTCAATAAGACCAATTTCAATATATTTTTTGACAAATGATACGTCTTAAACATACAAAATTAAAAACATGATTCTATCAAAATATATTATATATTTAAATGTTCAATGTTATTACGCGACTTTGACGTGTTAGATGATGGAAAAAACACAACTGAAGTTTTAATAATCCAGCGAAATTTTCAAATACCACGACGATGGGCCGCCTTGAGTGCTATTGAAATGTAATCATTTTGGTCGAGTAGGTTTCTTGTCGGAAGTACATGGAATTTTCCCAATATAGAACCGGGAAGGGTTTTATAAGGAGTTGACAGGCCCGGAGACAAGCGATCAAACAGCTGATTTGTAGTTGATGATTGATGATGGAAAGCGTGGAAAACATCTTATATAATGAATGCCATGGTATCAACCAAAGGCCTGTAACTATTTTGATAATTGGTATTATATTGTTATAGTGTGATTTTTATTTATAATTAAGTTTTTTTTTCACAAAAATCAAACCTGTTTCATATATTTTTATTAGTAGTGAGTTAAAGATAGTTATCCGAACCAAAGTTCTTGGAGCGACTAATTACAAATAGGTACAGTAAAATCTCGTTAAAACGGACTTTGCCGTATACCTACATAAATAATCTGCGTAAAACGAACGTTTTTTGTCCCCACAAATCAAATACAATATTAATTCTAACTCAGAAACAGAATGTATTTTTATTTTTCAATGTACAATATTATAATTTATTTACTGCGTAGAACACAATATAATCAATATTTATTATTTATTTTCTCAAAATATAATCTCGTCGATTATCATACTCTGGTGGTAAACCAGAATTACGTTAGTCCTACGCCTACCAAAATATTATATAACTATTATTTTTCTACTTATTATTTATTTAAAAAATATTATTATATAAACGTTTAAATTATTAAAAAATGTTCCCACAATAGTGTTATTCAATAATTTAACTTTTTTTTTTTTATTGAACAAAATTTTATATACAATCTGTTAATTACAATATAATATATTACAATGAGTAAATTTGATGAGGATGACACCCCAAATTAAACTTATTGAAATAATTATTTTAAATTTTACTCTTGGGTACTAAACGAAAAACAAAACTAGAAAAAAAAAATATCTACGTATAACCGCATTTTACAATATTATAGTATAATATATTTTGATAAAATCAAGAACTATTGTTTTTATCATAAGAAATCCACTTGTCCAAAACATAATAATGATTATTGCAAGGATGTGCCATCCTTAGTTTGAAGTCCAATCTCACTCTCAGATTTGTACATAATATGCATCGATAATCATATGCTGAGAATTTAAAGGATATTATTTTATAAACAGATTTTCCATCTTCGTAATACAACTAAGATTAATAAAGATAGCTGCTGCCTCCCTATTGAACACCAAAAAACCAGAACATTACCATTGTAAAACTGACACTTTTCTACATAGAAAAAAACCAATATCATATTCGTATACGAATGCAGTATCTCGTCATACGTACATAGAAAATAATACATCTTCCCCCCATGAACTTTTGGAGTCCTACTGCAGCTAGCTAAATAATTTATCATCAGGCTTTAGTTAATTCTCCTCTTTCCCTAGTCATGAAAGTACTTTAAAAACTGACAAATATGACAATTAATCATCTACTAACTGCAAACTCTAAACACTTAGGTATTCAAATAATTTCAACGCAAATTGACCTATAAATCACAAAATAAATTACTATACAAAATACATTAGGAATACTAATTAGGTGCATTACATGAAAAATTATTTATTGTTTCTATTATATCGAAGTCACACTTACCAAGAATTCTCGCATGTCTAAACATTTTTGGATATAACCCGATGCTAGAAAATCACTATGCTGGAGCCGACATTTCAATACAAGCTACACCAAAGAATAACACGCAACCAACTATTTACGATGACTTTTTACAATCATGTGCCATGTCCATTACACTGAAACATATACATTATACATGACATAATAGCAGCTTTTTAGTTCCTACTATAACACAAAGTATAAGTAAGCTCTATTTACCTCCTACTTTAATTCACTAGGAAACAATTTTATCGTATGTGGAGACATAAATTACAAACATAAACAATGGGGTTGTCAAGGGCAAAATCCTCGAAGAAATCCGCATCGTCAAACCCAATTACAAAATAATCTCTCTGTGATGGCTCCCCTACTACTACTGAAAGCCAACATGGCCAAGAAAAAAAATTCGAACACCTTAGACTTATTTGTTACAAAATTACCACATCACTTGTTATCTCGTATGGAAAACTTCTCTGACCTATGCTCAGATCATTCCCCTTTATCTCTAACTATAAACAAGACAATTGCTACTCGTACATCTAACTGTTTCCTTTTAAATGGTTATATAAACTGGAAAACATTTAATCAAACTCTTACACGAAAAACAATACCTAATACCCAACTTCAGTCACTAGAAGACATTAACGAAGCAATAAATTAACATTCCACACAAACACAATCGGTAGTCAGCTGTAGATGCAGCAAGTTTTACATCATCGCCACCACTCTTCACTTTGAAATCATTCCGATCTTCTAATTAAAAAAGTAATTGCTGGTGACATGCCTAAAAACAAACCATAATGCCTTAAAATACATTGGTGCCTTTAAAAAATAAAATATATACATTATACATATTATATTATATTCTTCGTTGTTAAACGTGACGCTATTGATTGACTTTGTCTCGAGTATTTTATTAAAAGTCAATTATCACATACGCCTACTGTATAATAAACTATGTTGTACGTTTCACTTATCAAAAATAAGCATTCAGCGAGATACTGATAAATTTACTTCTGTGAATAAATTAAATATTCAAAAAAACAACTCAGAGTTCACTCCATTTAATCCGAACTTTAATATGCTAGGTATTTTATCAATATAATATATAATATACCTGCAGTTCAGTATAATATTATGTACCTATAGGTAGGTACTATTAAGTAAAGTTATAGTTTAACCTTTAAAATCCTATACTTATTATGTATTAATTAATGTCATTTTTATTTCACATTTTCACTGATTTTTCAACCCAATTATACTACATAATCTAAATAAAATCAATTTTGACATCGTTTTGATAAAATATTTCAGTTATATTACTAATATTGCACTAAGTATCATGACAAAAATATTATTCAAAAATGTATGAAACATTTAAACAGTTCTTTGGTTTTTTAGTTGTATACATTTTAAACAATTTAAACACGATTACCTAGTCGAAATGTATTTGTTATAAAATATGTAATAAAAAAATATCTAGATGAAACAGGTACCTAATTTACATCAAAATGCGTTTCACCTATTTTATTTTATAATTTATGTATTTTATCGATCAAAATCAAGCTTTCAGTTTATTTATTTACTTTTGTATCAAAAGTGTAATATTATTATTCATATGTATTATATTATTATTAGTCGAAAATGTTATTTTATCCTATGAATGGTTTTATAGCACTACCCAACAAAAAAGTAGTGATCACAAGTCCACAATAAAAATAAAAGAGATATTTACTTGTTGTGGTATAATACCATAAATCCTATACCTGCTATTACGTTTTTTGTATACAAATATTTTAATTCACTTTAATGAAAAAGTGGTTTTTGTAATTTTAAATTTCAATATTTCATATTAGGGCATAATAATGTATCATATAATATTTCACTGAACGTCAATATTAGACTAAAATTTAAAATGATGTACAATAGTTTATAGATGATTACTAATTGTTTTGCATGAAGGTGCAAATCCTGATATTAGTTTAGTTTATTCTGATAAGTTATTTTTATATCTGAATTATTGCTGTATGTTACATATTATTGTGTTTTGAAAGGCTTGAAAGTTGAAGATGTTACAATGACCATTTCACGGTTTTTAAGTCCAAACTAACTTTGTAATGGATTACTCTATCTGTTGAATAATGTTTATTTAGGAAATTATTATGGATTGATTTTTAATCCGGACTGATAGATATGGATTACTAGTGTTCTTTATTTGTAGGTATTTTCTTCTAACTCGCCAAAAACAAAACCACAATAGACGTAGCCACGTAGGTAACATTATTATTGGGAAATTAGATTTAACGTAGCTGTGTTATCTACCTAAATAAATACATAATAATATAAGCTAGATGACTTACCTGACCACTTATGGGAAAATAGGTAGGTACTATGCTTGCGTAATTGTGTCGATATACCTTTTGGTGGATAAGTTGCGTTCCCAAAAAACGCAAGGACTCTAGTAACGTCCAGCATATTTGCAAATTATACTTTTAGTTTTTACTTCAAAAATAATTATATAAATTAAATTAGTTAATATTATAATTAAAAACAATTCGTCTCAATACATGAAATAAAATATGATATTTTTTTTTTAAAACTAACTATTTGGTTGACATTTCACAAAAATGTTTTTATTCAAAACTCATTAACAGCTATTACAATATTAGAAATATTGTTATCTATACCATAACATTATTGTTGAAACGTCAAAAATACATAATGAACATTTGTAATTAAGTTATTTATCTTTATTAAAAATCTAAAGCGATAAAAAACTCTTGATTATTTGATTAGGTACCCAACCCATTCCATAGCAATGACATAAAATCGTTAAATCAGTATAGGCAGGTAACTAGAGTCCGAATTCCCGGGACTCTAATACCTGTGGAAAAAATGTAACTCAACAAAATATGTTACCCGGGACGCAATAGGCACTTATTTGGCTCCCCACTTGTAATCCACATGTCACGTATAATACTGATAAATGAGTAGCTCAGTTTACCTTATTAGCAAGTTATATTTTTTAGTTCGAATATTTAAACTGTGATCTTTCGTGAATGTATTTTCTCAGTCGTTGACAGTATGATTATTTGTGTATTTATGATATTCTAACTGAATATTTTTTAAGTAGATACATCATACCTACCTAAATACCTATTCCATAATCTATTCATATTATATTATAATGTGATATCTATATTAAATGTTCTATACATAGCAAGCGTATACGGTTTAATTTGTATTGTTCGTTGTTACAAAACCTTCCATAAGTTTATGAATTGATCATAAATTTACTAGCAATTTACAAATAATCTGCAATTGAGATGTACATTTTTTATTTTTCAAAGAAGAAGAATATTATTTTGATTTTAATGAACTTAATTCTGAGAACACTAGTATATTGTATTATAAGTTGTGTAATATAAGAGTTTTTATTGGTTAATATTTTAAACACAGACTTTCAACACAGTAATGTAATGGATGAACATTCTGTACAATTTGAATAATTAATTAATTAATACTTAAGCCTGTTATTAATTTTGATTTTTAGTTACATAATTAAATCTTATATTATTCTATATTTAAATTAAAATAATATCTTATATTTTTATTTTATTTTGCTTTACTTCAATTTGTAATGATTTATACCTATTTATAGTATTGAATACTATTTATAGTACTGTTAATAATATATTTACATTATATATAACTCAGAAAAAGTATTACAATGTATTATTCGTATTTTGTACCCGTTGAAATAATGAATAAATTAGTAATATATGAACATGAACATTTTGAAATAATTTTTATTTATTGGTATAATTTTCATAAACTGTCATTTATAATGGGTATTTTACTATGCTAACACTTCGCTTAAAATGCATTCTGCGTATATTCTTATAGAAATCTTCACTTACTGACTCCTGAACCGCACAATTGTGATTTATATTATAGATTTTTAAGATATGCTTCTATTGTATACAACATTATACCTAGTTATTTATTTTTTAATACTTATACCAACAAAGGTAATGCTATTATAAACGCACTAAATTGTAGTAGAAATATTAAAAACATAAGTATCGATTGAATGAATTCATAAATGTGTGCTTATTTAAACAAATAATTTTTGTTTCATACCGCCAGTTTTGTATTTAGGTAATAGCTGCACATATTATAATACACAATATCAATATATGATAACTTATTATACTTACTCAATACGCAGTAAAAATGATTATATACTACAATGTATATTGTAATAAAAATGAAATTTCTACCTTTTTTAATCCATTGAAAAAGTTAACAGTTTGTTTTTTAGCTTTTTATGTTACAAAAAAAATCAATTTAAAATATTTAATTAATTATTATAATTATAAATACAAATATAATATTATACAATATACTTTATCCTAAGTTTCGAACGTTATAAGTAAGTACTTAATATTAAAACTCATTAAATTACAAACTTGTTTAGCTTATTGATACAATTTATTTTTGTATTCAAATTGTGATTTACATGGCCGTTTTCTCCTCATTTTTTTAATTACATTCAATTACATTAATATTGTAGAGAATTAAAAATTATTTTATTTTTAATGGTTGTTCGGTGCAAATTACTTTTTGTAAAAGATAATGGTGTGTTATATGTTCTTGTATTGAATTTAAAAACAATAAAAAATCATAGCATTTAAAAATTAATTTAAATACTTTATCAAATTTATTTTAAATGTTTACAAAAGTTTGTTATTATTATTGTTTCAAATTCAACTATCGATACTTAAAGAATGATGTTTGTTACTCTAATAGAAAAAAATACATTTACTACCAATATCAATATTATAATAAAACGTATATTAAGAAGTAATAATCTAAAAAATAATTCAAATATAGTATGTACCTAACTTAAACCCATGTCACGTATACACTCACGAATTTTTAATATAACCGAATATAAATACAATTTACTATTTCCTCGTGTACGTTCATATTCAGTAGTTTATTGTCATTTATCAAATCATCGTTCGGTGATGAAATGAAAGACACTGAAATTCCATTGTAAAGTCAGTATAATGTAATGTGATATTGTCCGGTTCGTTGTGTTGGAAAGCATCTGGCGAGAAAAGTCATTAAGTGACATCGGGCCGGTTGTCATGGACCCTTGGAATCCGATGAAATATTCAGCAGCTACCGTTTATAACGTCCGGATCATGAAGTATTGGTGGTGGTTCCAAACGTTATTATACAGGAAAATTCATTCCAATTTGAAATCCGTTCTCATCTCCGACCAGGATATTTTAAGATGACATAGTTGACTTATCAGAATAAACAAATGCTAAACTCAAATACTTTCATATAGATTATAGGCAGGTACCTAATGTAAAATTAGTTTTAATTATCGATACCTAAACAATTTTTATGGTAGGTAAATATGTAGCTAGTTTTTTTTAATATCAATATAGAATTAGATAATTATTTTACTTTTGGAATGTAGGTAATAATATAAATATGTACAATATTTAAAATTAACTGTAGGACCATAAAAATGAGAAAAACATTCATATTTCGGTAAGGTTACTATAGATTTTTTTATTTTTTATTTTTATTTTTATTTGAAATAAACAATCTATATAACTTAGGGGCACAATAGGCTTATGT